TATATTTCAGGATTTATTGTTTAATTAGTCAACATACCAATTACAAACATCGGAAAAAGTGGTCTATTTTCAAGCTATTAAGTTTTCACACAGCCAAAAAAGTCAAAATTGGAAGAAGGTACTCGGTCTAGAGATCGAAATTATTCAGTATCCGCCACACTTCGCCGTCATAATGATGACAAAGAGCAACAAAAAGATTCATTGCACACGACCTCATACTCTCAACAGAAATGTCAGACACGTCATTTGACGCCATTAAAAACCTAATTCAATTGTTTCGAGAAAAGAGAATCCATTAAAGGCTATGCAACATGTCTTAGGATATTCCGATTCTTTTTTTTTCACGCACATTCCAGGCTGAATCTTTTTTCTTGAGCCAGACACTTTTTGGCGACTGAAGACCTGTGAATGATGACTACGAATTAAGTTGAATTAGTTTTGCTATGAGTTGCTCTTTTTTAAATTTTTGGCTTATGAAGTGGATGAAGTTTTTCTTTTTTGACTTTATTGATAGCGTTGCATAACATATGGGAGTGAGCAGTAGCTTTAGGGTGGGGGGGGGAGGGGCGGACGTCTCCCTACCTCCTCAGGGATTCGACCCCCTGCCGACTCAAAGGGTCCCCATTTGTACTATTTTGGGATATCCTTTTTTGGTAAGGTACCCTAAATTTTTCTAAGGGCGCTTTGGGCGCCAATAAACATTAATTTTTGAGGGGGCAGCGCGCGGCAAAAGAAACGCGATTTTTAAGTCAAAATTTTCCAAAATGTTCCCAAAAACGGCTTTTTGACCTGTTTCTCAAACATTTGGTTGCGGCGCAGAAAATTTGGCCAAAATAGCGTCTTTTCAGTGCTTTAGGAGAGCTCGGAAATCAATTCGGTCAACCTAAAAAAAGTCGTCAAAATTTTTTGAAAATTCGACCCCCCACCTCGAGAAAATCCTATATCCACCCTTGTTCAGCTTATATTGAAGTCGATTGTGTCTTTAGAAAATATTTAGGCTCTGTCGTAATGTCGAAAAACAGTACCAAAAACGCAAAATTAGGTACCACAAATAATCATCGGACTGGGTTCATGGTCGGGATTTATTTTCACGCAAAATCAGGTAGCACAAATAATTATCGGACTGGGTTCAAGGCCACTTTAAAAAATTTCCGAAAAAATCCCAGTTTTTTTTTGAGCGAGTAAAGCGATCTTTATGTAATGCTCTTTCTGTATCAAAAATACCAAATTAAGCTAAAATTTACATGAGTTTACTTCAAAAATTAGAAATTCGGAATTTGTATTTAATGTTTCTCTGACAAAAGTTTTTTTTTCGAAAGTATTTGAAATTTTTAGTGCAAAACATTGTGGAAAACAATAAAAAGTTTTGGAAAAACTATTTTTTTGAAGACAATTGTAGTCGTTTATGCCTAATTCAAAAAATTTTGGCGAATTTGAACATCTCTATCATTACATGTACAGGAAGAGACACTGAGAATGTGGTTGGAACATTTTCTGACGAATGTCGTCGGTATTTTCTGTGCTACTTGCACAGCAACAGGCTATCCTTGTTATTATTTTGTTTTGGAAGGCATTTTTTTTGGAAATAATTCGTTTTTTCACAAAAAATATTTGAATGAATCCAGACAATAAAAAGTAGTTTTTGATGTGTTTATATTATTTTGAAAAGTTGGGCACGCAACGCTAAAAAGAAAAACAACAATTGTTCGTATACAGCAAAAACCTTGATTGATCCTCCAACGGGTTAAACTATCTAGACTATTTTTTGCTGCAAAAGTGGTTTATTAATCGAAAGAAAAACTGATTTTTTTTTACAATTCTTTCCTTCTCGACTGTTTTAAGTAGACAATAGTTTTCATCTAAACACATGTTTTTTAGCTTAATTAGCTGGCCTGAATTCAGATAAAAATGTTTCGTGAGCGTATGTTCGAGTTGTATTTTATCAAAACAAGGGAGTTATGTGTTTTGTCTCCAAGGAACAAATCTTTGTTTTCGGATCGAAAATGCAAAACCGTACTGTTTTGGTTTATCAAATTTGCATAACAAGCATTCCTCACTTAAAAATTTTTATTTCAGCACACATCAAAAATAGGATTTTAAACGCTGCAAAAATACTTTAAAAATTAAAACTTTTGCTATTTTTAACAGTTTCAAGTTACTTATTATATCGATAGTCATTGCATTAAATTTTACATGGTTTGAAAGTGGTAATTGTATAAACATCGATAGTTCTGGCTTTATGCATTTGTAGAATTTTTTATGGGAAACTCTTCCCCTCTCAGGGAGTCGACCCCCTCACTGAACGTGAGGTATTTTTTAACTACATCGACGCTAATGTTCGGTACATCGACGCTAAATTTTTTTAAAGGCGCTTTCAACGCCAGTGTAAGCTCATCTTGAAAGAAAGCGCGAACAAACAAAATGTAATGTTTTAGTGAAAACCCTGAAAAAAGTACTCTTAACGGCATTTTTTGCGCGTTTAGAAAAAAATTCTTGTGCGACGCTGACAAATATATCAAAATTGGGTCTTTTTGGAACAATTCCAAATAAACTATTTAGCCGGCCCTAATAAAAAGCGAAAAAAAGAGAATTTTGAAAATGAGCCCTACCCAAAAAAATCTTAGATTCGCTCCTGCTACAAAGAATTTGACAATTTTTAGTCAGATTTTCATGTGTGTTTAATCACCAATCTCTTCAATCAAAGCTTATGTTGCTTCTTTACTTTTTTTTCATGTTAATTTTTTCCAGAAAATTGATTTTTTCTATAAAGAATACTAATTTGCAATATTTTATAACAATCCTTAACATATTTTTTTTTGAATTTCATAAATTAGTTGTGTTCCGATGGAGGATTGCTACTAAGTTTTTTCTAAACCTGTTGTCCTTTGTTTGATAATTTGGTCTTTTTTGAGCAATATCTCGGGTTGAGCAATATATGACATCACGTTTTCAAACTTAAGCGTGCAATCACTGTGGTCGTAAACAAGGACACGTGACTTTTTCTGATGGAAGTTTCATCAAAACGATGATTTTTTGTGGTTTTTGCTCTGAATCCTTCTGGCAAAAAATAGCTTTTTTATAATACAGTATGTTCATTTTTTCGGCCCAAGGATTTCAAAACAATTATTGAAAACATTTTTTTGGCGGTCAGGAGCCGATCTTCTCGAGGGGAGGATTTTCTCGATGGGGGGGGCGGATTTCCAAAAAAATTTCGATATTTTAATCGACCTTTTTTTAAGTCGACCATATTGATTTTTTGAGCTCTCCCAAAGACCTGTTTTGTCCCACTTTAGACAAAATTTCTGCGCCGCAAGCAAAACTTTGAAAAAACAGGCCAAAAAGGCATTTTTAGGCACTTTTTGGAAAATTTTGAATCGCGCGCTCCCCCCTCGGAATTACTATATACTGGCGCCGAAGGCGCCTTTAGGAAATTTTAAAGGTTCATCAACAAAAAAGTATATTGGAAAATAGTACAAAGGGGGACCCTTTGGGTCGGCAGGGGCTCGAATGGAAAGGCGGGGGTCGAGAGGAAAGGCGTCCGCCCCTGGAAAGATGTCTAAGGATGTACTGATTCCTTTTTTTTTCACTCACATTCCAGGCTGAATCATTTTTCTTGAGCCAGGCATAATTTGGCGACTGAAGATCTGTGAATGATGACTATGAAATAAGTTGAATTAATTTTGCTATGAATTGCTCCTTTTTAAAATTTTAGCTTCGAAGTGGATGAAATTTTTCTTTTTTGGCTTTATTGATAGCGTTGCATAACATGGGAGTGAGAAGTAGCCGACTTAAGGGAGGAGGGGCGGACGTGTTTTTTTGCCTTTCAAGCATTCGACCCCCTGCCGACCCAAAAGGTCCCCCCTTTGTTTTATTTTGAGATGTCGATTTTTGGTGAGGTACTATAAATTTTTTCTAAGGGCGCCCTGGGCGCCAATAAACACTAATTTGTGAGGGGAGAAGAGCGCCAAAAAACGCAATTTTTTTTTATCAAAATTTTCCAAAAAAAGTCTAAAAATGCCTTTTTTGACCTCTTTTTTCAAAATTTTGCCTGCGGCGCACAAAATTTCACCGAAACAGGGTTTTTTAAATGCTTTGAGAGGGCTTGGAAAATCAATTTGGTCGACATAAATAGAAAAAAAGGTCGACAAGATTTTCGAATTTTTTTTTAAAATCCACCCCCCCCACGAGAAAATCCTAGGTCCGCCCTGGGAGTGGGTTTTAAAAAACTGCTGCTTTTTTATGTTTTTTTTTTTTTGTTATTTCGGTTTGTTTCAGTTTTTGTTGCACATTTTTTTCTGCAATTTTTAGTGCAATTTTTTAAGTGGATAAAGGTAATTTTTGAGGTATTTTTAAAAGTTTATTGTGAAACAAATGATTCTAAGCGCAGTCCAATAAAGGCTTACCAACACGCAAAACGAGCGGATTTAGGAAGATGCGGGGGGAGGGGCGGACGCCCCCTCTCAGGGATGTGACCCCCTGCCGACCCAAAGGGTCCCCCCTTTGTACTACTTTCAGATATCCATTTTTGGCTGATTGACCTTAAAATTTTTCAAAGGACGACTTTGGCGCCAAAACATACTAATTTTGACGGGGAAAGCGCCGAAAAAAGGCAATTTTTTGGTCCAAAATTCCAAAAAGTGCCTAAAAATGCCTTTTTTGGCCTGTTTTTTCAAAAATTATTTTCGAATTTTTTTTTTGAAAATCCCCCTTTCCTTCAAGAAAAACCTAGACCCGCCCCTGAGCTTTCTCACACAGCTTGGGAGAGCTCGGAAATATAATTTGGCTGCCTTGAAAACATATTTACAAAGTTTTTGATTTTTTTTGAAAATCAGCCCTACTACAAAAAACCCTAGACCCGCATTTGATACAATGAAGTTGGCTATTCGAGGAACTATTCGGAATTTCATGGATGTATAATCACCAACGTTTTCAATCAATGCAGGAGTCGCGTTTTTAGTTTTTCTCAATTTTTTTCAGAAATTTGAATTTTTATCACAAAAAATTACTATTTTCGCAATTTTTTTAAGATTTCTGAGTATAAGAATTTGTTATTCTGAAATTGATTAGTTTGCGGTTTCTTGATGGAGTGTTAGAAATGAATGTTTATAAACCAATCGCCAGTTTTTTGGTAGTTTGGTCTTCTATTGAGCAACCTCTCCCGCCGGATCTCCGCCTGATCTGAATTCGAGAAATGCGAGCACTCCAGTGCCTCCGTAGAACACCATGCAAATGAAGCCCACGATCTGAAATGAAATTACATTCTGCGAAAGTGTTACTTTTAAACGTTCCTGCTGTCATTTAAAATAAGGAGTCAAAAAACAAAAAGGTGTTCTGAATTTTTTGTTGCATCACGCTTTTTGCCAATATATGACATCGCGTTTTCACTCTTAGGCGTGCAGCTTTCAATCACTTTTGTCGTAAACAAGGACCCGTGGCTTCTTCTGATGAAAGTTTCATCAAGTCGACGACATTTGGTAATTTTTTCTCTTAGTCTTTTGGTACAAACTTGCATTTTTATGATACGGGGTGTCGTTTTTGAGTTCACTTTTGGGTCGATTAATTCAAAACAATCATTACCTCACTAAACTACCCAAAAAAAAAACATTTTCATGGTGCTGCTTTTAAGTATATTATATGATGTTAATTTCAGATGATCAAAAAAACTTCGGATAATTTTGGACAGCTTTTACTGCTGGTGGGTGTAGTGATATGGAGAGATTCGGGCTCTGCAGCCCACTTAATACGCTGTTACATACACATCAATTTTATGCTGTATCCTGTGGTTATACAAGGTGATTTTTACGTGTATATTTTTAGGATTTATTGTTTCATTAGTTAACCTGCTAATTACAAAATAATCGGATAACGTGATTAAAACTCATGTTACTAAGTTTTTACGTGGAGAAAAAAGTCGAGATTGGAAGAGGGTACTTACAACAGCGACCACGAGTAGTCCGTCTCCCCCACACTTGGCCGCCAGAATGATGGCGGAGAGGAGGAAGAGAAAGATGGCTACCCCGTTGAACACGACCTCCTACACTCAACACAAAAATCACATATGTCATTCGACGCCATTGCAATCATAACTTAGTTTCTCCGAGCAGTCGCAGAGGATCTAGCCGAGGCTGGGCAGCAAACCTGCGGTCAGCTCGTTTCTATTATTTTTCTGATTACATTCCTGGCTGCTGTCATTTTTCTTGAGCTAGCACTTTTTGTTGCGACCCAAGACATGACTTATTACTATGAACTGACTGTTAATTAGTTTTGCCATGAATTGCTCCATTACATCTATGGATGAAATTTTCCTTTTTTAACTTTTTCAGTAGCGTTGCACATCATATGTGGGCGAGTATAATTATTTTGCTGTAACCTTTTTTGTTACTTTTAAATGTGAATTTTATTTAAATATGGACGGTGTAAGATTACACTATGAGTTAACTTTCGCACAAAAATGTTGTAAATTGAGAAGCTGTTGAGAAACAACTGATTCTAAGTTCAGCCCATCAAATGACTAACAACACGAACAACCCATGACGTCTGCATGTCACCATTTCACAGATCAAAACTTAAACAAATTAATAAAATGTGAGGGTCTTTTCCGTTATACGGCCCAAAATTGAAAAAACATACCTCAAAATTTTTGTTAACCAAATTAAGTTTGACAATACACAGCTCACAAAACCAATCAGATTTGTCCGGGCTCTGTTTTATTCTTCTCCCACCTGCGAACTTTTCAAATATTTTTTCTTCAAATTACCATCCAGTTTACTTAAGTAGGCCATGAAAAACAAATTTGGTGTCCCTGCTTATTCTTGTTGAACGCCTTGTTTCAAATTGATCAAATTGATGCTTATGTGAGTTGAGGAAAAGAAGAAGAGCCTACAACGTGCGCCAATTTCTTGTTTTCGTGTTCCTCCACTTAGACTCAAAAGAATTTGTCTGACAAAAAGGGACTGGGAAGGTCCAAAAATACAAAAAATGACTGGGAGAATGATTGACCCTCTCATGATGAGAGGATCTCGGGCCCAAAAACAAAAAAACAACAAAAAAATGTCTGCGGCGGAAAATCATTTGTCAAAATAGGGTCTTCTTAGTGTTCTGGGAGTGCTCGGATTTTCCATTTTTTGTTTTTGAAAATCCGCCTCCCCTCCCAGAGAAAATTCTAGATTAGCTCCTGCATATTATGAGTATGATTATATTTGTACTGACCAGCAGAGTCCATGGGATCATTTCGAACTGGTGGTGCAGCCGGATGGCGTAGAGGGTGAATAGGACGAAAGTGAGGACCATGAAGAGCACACAGATGAAGATGAAGAAGCCTCTCGCTGCCACATCTGTATCACTGGACCCCGCGAAGATTATCCCAAAGATACACAGGATCTAGGATACAAGTAATAACTAAGCAAACATAAACTCTTCTTACTCGCCATGTTTTCTCTTCATGTTTTCTCGCTTGAACAGAACAATTTTTTCAATTGCTATTTGACACCGCACCTACAGAAATTCTCGGAGCCTTGAACATCTACTATTTGAAGGGGTAGGGACCAAATGACAGAACGACATAATAATAGAAAAAAAATCAGACAATCAAAATTCAGTATTCAAAAGTCTGGAACAAAGCAATCCGGATGTTTTGGGCCATTTTAAGGGGGGGTTTTTCGTTCTTCAGAAAACTTCTGCCATCAGCACTTAAGTTGAAAAAAAATTTTGAGGACTTGAGTGAAAAAGAACTATTTTGAAATCAAAGCATATGTTTGAAGTCAATTTACTTACAAATTGGACAATTTTGAGCGCACCATAAATGGAGAGGACATAGTTCTTCACATTATCAATAAGGGAGTCCGCACTGTTTCCACCTCCTCCTCCTCCTCTATTGGCGGCAGGAGTGGTGGCCTGTGTCGAGGGGGTCCGGGTGCTCACTGGAGGCACTGTGTCCGGCCGAGGACTGGGCACCACCGCCGGGTTCTCATAACTAGAGGGATAATTTGGGTCTCCTTGTGACATGTCGCTGATTTGCTAAAGAACTTAAATGTCACAAGTTTTCAATTTATAAAATGATTTAAAAAATATTTGATGTAAATTCTTAATTATATCACTGTCTTCATTAAAACGATTATAAGTGACAATGAGAAAATAATCAAAGACAAAAAAAAACTTTTTTTCAATATTTAATTCCCAAAATTTTTCTTGCTTTTTGAACTGAACTGACAAGTTTGTCAATATAATTGACATATTGATTTTGTTTAAAAATAAAAGCCTTTTTTGGAAACTCTGATGCAATTTATTGGTCAACTTACCAAAGCCAGAATTATGAACTGATCACGTTTGATATTATCACCAACTCTGGCTGATTATCTGGTTAAAAAATCTCAATGAAATTACAATATGTGCTTTTAATGCGTTTTTGTCACCAAACCGAGTGCGTTTCAGTTTTAAACCATATTAAATTTATGTTTGTTTCTGCATGCTTAAAATCACGTTCAATGCACAGTGGATACCAATGTGACATTTTCTTAATACGAATATTTTTTAATGTGGTTAAATATTTTTGCAAGCAGTAAAAACTATAAAAGCGTTAAGTATAAACAAATAGCGTCAACATTTGACCAAATTCGCGCTGCTGTGAAGTTCTCACTTTGAATTTTATTTCACTATAAAACCTCCTCTTATTGATAAAAAATGATAATGAAAAAAAAAAACAATCCAAAGTATCTTCTGGCGACACTTAAGCATACAAGTCTCAACAACTGGACTGACTTCTCATGCGGAAATGTTTTTGTATTAAGTTGTCAGCAACTTAATTACTTCAAATTAACGTGAGGGACTATTCGTGATTATAGGTCATATGCCACTTTATTCCACCCTCTGTCAGGTTTTTCTAATAAAAAAAGCCAAAATAGAAACAGTGAAAATTTCTTTAATTGAGATTCATGAAACACATAAGAGTCTGATTACCGTTAACTGTTATCTTAAAAAATAAAAAAATAAAACAAAAACTGACAAAAAAAACGTTATTTTTTGAATTTATTAAGCGTAATTTTGACAGCCACGAGATAAACTTAGACCACGGAAAATTTAGACAAAACTCATTAATTCATCAGTTTTGCTTCGAAAAACTAGAGAGGTGGTCTGTCAAACTGGTCCCCCACAAATTCGGAGTTTCATTTCTCTTATTATTTCTTGCTTTTTATCTGATTTATTCATAATCAATCATGTTCAAGAAAAAGCCCACAAATAAAAATGTAATCCTCACTAGTGCCACTACTCAGACCAAAAAACAAAAAAAAATAAATTCATCTCATATAAAACTCCTACACATCTCTTGTCCGACAGAATCTTCTGAAGTTATCTGATATTGTCCAACAGAGATCTTATAGCGACACAGATGAAACGAGAAACGAAGTTCGACCTACAAATAACAATGTCGACGTTGATTGTTGAGACGCATAACTGAATGACAATATAACACATGAGAGGAAATGAGTGAAAATTTCATTAAACTGACCGATGTCGACCCATTCTCTCTGTGTAATCATATGTACTCTACCTCACTCCGGAATTGCCCCGTTGGCCATCCGGCTATTTTTAGAGATTCGGGAGTAACAAATTGCAAATCGTTTAAGCACAGCAGTTGGCCATATTTGGCAGCATGAAACCTACCCGTGACTCAATTACTCACCACATATCTTCATAATATTGAGCAACTAACCCGTAAGACTACGCAAAGACATAAAATTCAACCAAACCGTAACTTATATGCAATTTGGAAACCAAACATCAAAACAATTAAAAACGTTGATTATTGATCAGTACATTATTTGAAAACTTATGTAAATTCGGATGGTTACAACCCGTTCAGAGTTTATTGTTCCGACTTTCGATACGAAAGTAACGGAATATTTGTGCTCGGGGTGGGTTATTTTTTCTTCAGACAAATTTCGACTTCTTAACTAGCCATTTTTGACAGAATTTTTTATATCATTCAAAAGGTAGTTTTATCCTGATTTTAAATTTGAAAAAATATTTCATCTGTGATTATTTTTTGTAAGTAATGGGGGTTTAAAGATTGGCATTTTGGCCATTTTGGGACAATTAACGCGCGATATATTTCGCGCTTTTAAAGCGTAAGCAGAGATTTAATCCGTTCTAGAAATCGTTCCAAATTCGTTTAAATAAGCTTATTTACCATAATTCATTTGTTACAATGAGCGAAATCTATTCTTTTGTACTTTATATGGCGTGAGGGGGTCGGATGATTTCATTGAAAAAAAAACTTCAAACTTTAGATTTTTTTTTTCATTTTATTTTATTACACTTAATTTTTTATGTTACTACTGCTCCATAAACTTTAAAAGGCAGTCGGAACATTCAGGGCCTCGTCCTGATACGTTCAGTCTTGTTTATTTTTAAATCATAGCTAATCATAGCTAAGCTCTAAACAATTGTTGTAAACTTGACTAGTTCAACTATTTAGACCGACACAACAAAAATGGAATTAAAATGATTTCATATAAAACTTGCCTTACCAGTGTTGCTACAAATCAAACAAGACTGCTCGGATCAGGGCGAAGCCCTAAATGTTTCGACTGCCTTTTAAGGTTTATGGAGCAGTAATAACATGAAAAAATTGAATGTAATAAAATAAAATGAAACTTTTTTTCTGAAATTTGAAGTTTTTTTTTCTGAAAATCATCCCCCCATACGCCATATAAAGTACAAAAGTATTGATTTCGCTGCTAGTAACAATCAATTATGGCAAATAAGCTTATTTAAACGAATTTGGAACGATTTCTAGAACAGATTAAATCTCCGCTTACGCGTTAAAAGCGCGAAATATATCGCGCGTTAATTGTCCCATTTTGGCGAAAATACCAATCTTTAAACCACCATAACCTTACAAAAAATGATCACAGGTGAAATATTTTTTCAAATTTAAAATCAGGACAAGAATACCTTTCGAATGATATAAAAAAACTCCGTCAAAAATGGCTAGTTAAAAAGTCGACATTTCTGTGAAGAAAAAAAAACCCACCACGAGCACAAACATTTGGTTACTTTCGTATCGAAAGTCGGAACAATAAGACCGGAAAAAAAGGTTTAAGATCAGCTTCAGAATAACGAAATGCTTGAACCTATCCAGTCAAAAAGACAGTGACAATCCACCAAAAAAAACAGTGTGACAAATAAACAGTGTACTCAATCAGAAACTACTCTTTAAAATGAAACCTTGGGTGCATCTCAGTGTTTTATATCTGAAAATCAAAATGGAAAAGTATTTAATTTTTTTTATTGAATTACCCGGAAATGATACTTTTAGCAGTTAATTGCAAAATTCTTGAATTTAATTTGCTGAAAAATTCGTTTTCAATTTTCCAAAACTTCAAAGTATGTCAACAGAACTTTTCCATTTCAGCAAAAAGTTTTCAATTTCAACTCCAATACAGTGCTGATTTAAATTATCCGGACAAAACGAACAAAACTTGAATTTTCAAACGCATTTTTCTCAAATTGGGTTAAGATTAGACAAAAAGTGAGGAGAACAAAAGTTGCTCAGAATTTCATCAAAATTAATATGGTGCTATTTTTTCTCCGAAATTCTCAACCAAAATTTTACCCCAAAAATGGGTCATTTTGGCTTTTTTCAATTAATCAAGAGTTACATTGAAACTGCTTTGTTATTTGATAAAAAAATTACATCACAAGAAGCCTCCTTCATAGCCCAACAAAGTTCAAGAAGGGTTAAATCTCCAAAAACCAGTATAAGAGAAAAAGTTTTTAACTTGATAGTCAATAAATGTGATTTTTACTAAATAAAACCCAGAATCTCTGTTTAAAAACAAATTTTAAACAATTTTCGCAAAATTTTGGAGATTTAACCCTTCGTAAACTTTGTTGGGCTATGTAGGAGGCTTCTTGTGATGTAATTTTTTTATCAAATAACAAAGCAGTTTCAGTGTAACTCTTGATTAATTGAAAAAAGCCAAAATGACCCATTTTTGGGGTAAAATTTTGGTTGAGAATTTCGGAGAAAAAATAGCACCATATTAATTTTGATGAAATTCTGAGCAACTTTTGTTCTCCTCACTTTTTGTCTAATCTTAACCCAATTTGAGAAAAATGCGTTTGAAAATTCAAGTTTTGTTCGTTTTGTCCGGATAATTTAAATCAGCACTGTATTATACAGTACTGAATTAGTATACCGACTCAAAATAAGGAAAACTAGAAACTAAAAATTAGGTTTACATTTGGCAAAAAGATACGAGAACACAATCTACTTAAATAATTGACAGAATTGATGTAGCTCTATTTTTTTGAAAGCCAGTTACAAAATTTTTCTTCAAATTTTTTGTCAATTTGGGCTCCGTTTAAGAAATCAAAATGAAATTAAAAAAACTATTCCATTCACTGAGCAATTTGTGTCTTTAAGTTTGATATAGACGAGGACTGGTTAACTTACGTTTATCAACTGTCAATGGAAGAAGAAAAACTGTTAACTGTCAAAACTCTACAGAACCAGTTTGTCAGAGCGTGAAAACGTTTCTAAGAACAAGTTTGTTTATCAAAAAGTCAATGAGGCAACCGAAAAATATTGGAGTTACCAGAAAACGACGACGCCAATGTTAGTGTTTTACACTGTTTTGGCATTCATACTAAAGATTCAGTAACCAAAGCAACAGCCGATCTGGTATTGGGCCGCACCAAGACCTAGACAGTTCTGTGAGCAGCAAAAAAGAAGCCCTACAGTTTGCCTAAAACACACCAAGTTGAAAAATTAATTTAATTTCAGTTTGAGACTTAATTTCGTTGTTTGTACTTTGAAAATGCTTCAAACAGCCGCAGACTTCGCATCACGGGTAATTTTTGCATCACGGGGGAGCTGCCGACGATCACCCACTCTTATTCGGACAAAAATTGGTGGACGATAGACAGCTCATATATTTCTCAAATTGACAGTAGATGGAGTTTAATTAACACAAAGAGTACATGGAAAGCAACTATCAAGGTCAAAAGAAAATCATGTGTTGGTTGTCTATTTTTCAAGGAACTGTACTTTACCGTAGCGCGTTCTCAGTTCGCTAGGAACAAAATTTAACAAAAGAATTATAAGTCTGCGATGCCCTTGTTATACCCTCAACCACTAGGTGAGGTATAAAGTATGTTATGTAATCAAAGTCTATGCTGAGCGCTAACTAAGAATAGAGAAATAACGAGATTAAGAGAACAACTTAAATTCAACTCTCTATGTTTAAGTCTGGTTGACTCTGACCTCGAATCGCTTGAGAGACAGAGTTTCATAATAACTAGTACATATGTCAATACGTATAAATAGGTACTTATTTAATCATCAGACTTCTATATGTATTGTTTAATCAGTTATGTTTATAATATGTAATACCAACTGGTAGTTTTAGCACCGACATGTAGATCATTAATAAAGGATGTTTTCTATAATATCCGTACGGATAACACTTCCCTCTTTTTGATTAAGTGAG